ATGAGGTATGATATTGATAACTGAGAAAACATAATACTTATAACAGATAATGTATAATACTGATAACAGATGAGGTATGATATTGATAACTGAGAAAACATAATACTTATAACAGATAATGTATAATACTGATAACAGATGAGGTATGATATTGATAACTGAGAAAACATAATACTTATAACAGATAATGTATAATACTGATAACAGATGAGGTATGATATTGATAACTGAGAAAACATAATACTTATAACAGATGATGTACATCTGTTATCAGTATTACCTTTATAAGTATTATGTTTTCTCAGTTATCAATATCATATACATTATCTGCATCTGTTATCAGTATTAAAGTATGATATTGATAACTGAGAAAACATAATAGTCATAACAGATGATGTATAATACTGATAACAGATGAGGTATGATATTGATAACTGAGAAAACATAATACTGATAACAGAATGAAATCAATAAAATAATAAATTTAAGGTTCAAATACATTGTAAATCAACATTTTCAAAACATTGCTGTATGTTACTTGCCAACTCACCTATTATGTCTTTTTCTTAGACTAAAACACTTGGTGTAGTTTATATAACACAAAATGTGATTAGGATGAGGACAAAGGAAGATAATGCAGTGAAAATCTCATTTGTTTCAGCACTTATTAAGCTAAATTTACATTGTTTAATGCACTATGGATTATTTTTTACATTAAGATACTAAAGTTTCTTCTTTCAGAAATTTTCCCACAACTAAAATTATTACCTTTTTCTGATACCTTCAAGCCCATTCTGCAACACTGACTTGTCACTGAGAGCATCCTTCCCTAGCTGTCCGTTATGTCCAACAGTTGTACTGTTACTGTTCTTCTTATTGAGTCCAATATGCTCACCACAGTCACTGAGCTCCTCTTCTTCTTCGAGTCCTTGTTCAGTGAGGCTAACACTACTGCAGCTAGCTGTGTCACTACTGTCTGAGCTGTTCTTCTCTTCCAGGTCAGAATCAGAATGGTCTGAGATACATTTGTTTTCAACATTAAATGTAGCATAAAAAGTCCAACTTTATACTTATTTGTGATAAGCAACAGTTGCTTAAGTTTTCTGTTAAATGAGAGTTAATAAAATCTGTAGAAAAATTAACACGAGTTATTTGTGGCAGTGTAAGTATTATTAAACATTACACTAAAAGTAATAATTACAGTGATTCTGTGGCAGTATAAATATTATTAAACATTACACTAAAAGTAATAATTACAGTGATTCTGTGGCAGTATAAATATTATTAAACATTACACTAAAAGTAATAATTACAGTGATTCTGTGGCAGTATAAATATTATTAAACATTACACTAAAAGTAATAATTACAGAGATTCTGTGGCAGTATAAATATTATTAAACATTACACTAAAAGTAATAATTACAGATAATTTGTGGTAGTGTAAATATTATTAAATGTCATACTAAAATAATCATGAATTGTTGACATTTCTAAAATCATTGCCAAAAGATGCCTTAGAAATGTAAAAAAAAAGGTGTTAATTTTTTCATGTATAATAAAATGTAACAAAGATAAACATTTACAAATAAATTATTCAAGTATAACCACAGTGAAATTAAGATAACAAACTAGTTTTTAATAATGACACGTTAAGGGGCTGTTGTTATAATAAAAGAAATACTTATTACGAACACAAGTTTGTTTAATTATACGGATCTAGTCTGTTTGTTGACAAAACTACAAAATGGGCTATTTGTGCTGTGCTCCACCAAAGATATTGAAACCCAATAATTAGAACTGTCCAGTGACATATTGCTGAGACAATGTGTGGGTGGGGGGGCATAATCTAGTGATTACTTTATATGCTGTAATACAATGACCAATGAAACTTCTTACATAACACATGTTCCAAGTTTACCATAAATAACTGTGATGCTTTAAGAATGAATATTATCAGTGAGAGATAAAATATAATTTTTTGTTACATTACACCACAAAAACCAATAAAAACTGACAAATAAACACTAAATAACTTTTTTAAAAAACATTTATCATTAGTTTCATAATCAGTTTAGAGAAATATAATTGATCAATTCTTCTTCTTTGAAGAATAAGCTTTAAATAATTAATCTTTATTTCAAACGTGAATATAATTTTAACCTTCACTTAGCTCCGAATCCTCTTGACTTGTGCTACTTTGTTTTCTTCTTCTTGGCACCCGACGACGTGATGAAGATCTTTTTCTTTCTTTTTTATTTGAAGACTTCTATTAATAAATGAAATCATCATAATTAAAGAAACTAAAACTCAAACTTCTGTAAAAAATTATCACTTTTAGTGTAATTCCAAGGACGTTCTTTAGATTCAATGAAGATATATATATTTGTGGTTTAGATAATTTCGAAAAGCACAGTTTTTTCTAATACTTGGGAAATTCCTTATAACGCTACATTTAGATTAATAAAAAATAATGTGATTTGAAGTTACCATTTTTTTTTCCTCATTAAACCACACTTTAACATTGTTCTTTATGTTCCACATTTAATTTCTCACTCGATTACAAATCTGTTTATTTCACCTGAAATGTATTTCTTGCCGTGAAGTCCTCCAAAAATAGATATAGACATTTTTAGAACTTTAAAAAAATTTAAAAACAAATGAGTTTAAGTGTGTCTAAAATAAAAGGATACTGTGTAAAGTTTTGAAGAATGAATAAAAAATTTACTAATCTCTAAATTCATTGCTGTCTGCTGTCCTTGCACACTTTCTGTTTCAATCTTATGTACTTGACATGCACTTCCTGTTTAAAACTTGTGTACTTGACATGCACTTCCTGTTTAAAACTTGTGTACTTGACATTCACTTCCTGTTTCATACTTGTGTACTCTACATTCACTTCCTGTTTCACACTTGTGTACTTGACATTCACTTCATGTTTCACACTTGTGTACTCGACATTCACTTCCTGTTTCACACTTGTGTACTCGACATTCACTTCCTGTTTAAAACTTGTGTATTTAACATTCACTTCCTGTTTAAAACTTGTGTACTCAGCACTCACTTTCTGTTTAAAACTTGTGTATTTAACATTCACTTCCTGTTTAAAACTTGTGTACTTGACATTCACTTCCTGTTTCACACCTGTGTATTTAACATTCACTTCCCATTTCAAACTTATGTACTCAACACTCACTTTCTGTTTCAAACCTGTGTACTCCACATGATTCCTATACTTTTCTTTGAGCTGTTCAGAAAAGAAAACCATGACATTTCTTTTATTTCAGTTTAGTAAGCTTTTCTGTAATTTAATTTTGCAATAGTTTTCTTAAGAGAACATAACATTATTTAAAATACAGTTTTCTTTTTACAGTCTACACTCTATATGGAAAACAAAACCAATACTGTGAATTATTTTATTTATTACTGAAGTGACAACAGTACATAAAACAAGAGCAAATAGCTAAATAATAACCTCATCTTTCTCAGACCAAAAATTAAATGGATGATACTGAGAAGATGTAGGAGAACAAAAACTAAATGGATGATACTGAGAAGATGTAGGAGAACAAAAATTAAATGGATGATACTGAGAAGATGTAGGAGAACAAAAACTAAATGGATGATACTGAGATGTATAAGAACAAAAACTAAATGGATGATACTGAGATGTATAAGAACAATCCATTTAGTTTT